TTCACCTTGTACCTTGTATCAGTGCTGTGCTTCACCTTGTATCAGTGCTGTGCTTCACCTTGTATCAGTGCTGTGCTTCACCTTGTATCAGTGCTGTGCTTCACCTTGTATCAGTGCTGTGCTTCACCTTGTATCAGTGCTGTGTTGTATCATCAGTGCTGTGCTTCACCTTGTATCAGTGCTGTGCTTCACCTTGTATCAGTGCTGTGCTTCACCTTGTATCAGTGCTGTGCTTCACCTTGTATCAGTGCTGTGCTTCACCAGTGCTGTGCTTCACCTCAGTGCTGTGCTTCACCTTGTATCAGTGCTGTGCTTCACCTTGTATCAGTGCTGTGCTTCACCTTGTATCAGTGCTGTGCTTGTATCAGTGCTGTGTTCACCTTGTATCAGTGCTGTGCTTCACCTTGTATCAGTGCTGTGCTTCACCTTGTATCAGTGCTGTGCTTCACCTTGTATCAGTGCTGTGCTTCACCTTGTATCAGTGCTGTGCTTCACCTTGTATCAGTGCTGTGCTTCACCTTGTATCAGTGCTGTGCTTCACCTTGTATCAGTGCTGTGCTTCACCTTGTATCAGTGCTGTGCTTCACCTTGTATCAGTGCTGTGCTTCACCTTGTATCAGTGCTGTGCTTCACCTTGTATCAGTGCTGTGCTTCACCTTGTATCAGTGCTGTGCTTCACCTTGTATCAGTGCTGTGCTTCACCTTGTATCAGTGCTGTGCTTCACCTTGTATCAGTGCTGTGCAGTGCTGTGATTTACACCTTGTATCAGTGCTGTGCTTCACCTTGTATCAGTGCTGTGCTTCACCTTGTATCAGTGCTGTGCTTCACCTTGTATCAGTGCTGTGCTTCACCTTGTATCAGTGTGCTGTGCTTTACCTTGTACCTTGTATCAGTGCTGTGCTTCACCTTGTATCAGTGCTGTGCTTGTATCAGTGCTGTGATTCACCTTGTATCAGTGCTGTGCTTCACCTTGTATCAGTGCTGTGATTCTTGTATCAGTGCTGTGCAGTGCTGTGCTTCACCTGTGTATCAGTGCTGTGCTTCACCTTGTATCAGTGCTGTGCTTCACCTTGTATCAGTGCTGTGCTTCACCTTGTATCAGTGCTGTGCTTCACCTTGTATCAGTGCTGTGCTTCACCTTGTATCAGTGCTGTGCTTCACCTTGTATCAGTGCTGTGCTTCACCTTGTATCAGTGCTGTGCTTCACCTTGTATCAGTGCTGTGCTTCACCTTGTATCAGTGCTGTGCTTCACCTTGTATCAGTGCTGTGCTTCACCTTGTATCAGTGCTGTGCTTCACCTTGTATCAGTGCTGTGCTTCACCTTGTATCAGTGCTGTGCTTCACCTTGTATCAGTGCTGTGCTTCACCTTGTATCAGTGCTGTGCTTCACCTTGTATCAGTGCTGTGCTTCACCTTGTATCAGTGCTGTGCTTCACCTTGTATCAGTGCTGTGCTTCACCTTGTATCAGTGCTGTGCTTCACCTTGTATCAGTGCTGTGCTTCACCTTGTATCAGTGCTGTGCTTCACCTTGTATCAGTGCTGTGCTTCACCTTGTATCAGTGCTGTGCTTCACCTTGTATCAGTGCTGTGCTTCACCTTGTATCAGTGCTGTGATTCACCTTGTATCAGTGCTGTGATTCACCTTGTATCAGTGCTGTGATTCACCTAGTATCAGTGCTGTGCTTCACCTTGTATCAGTGCTGTGCTTCACCTTGTATCAGTGCTGTGCTTCACCTTGTATCAGTGCTGTGCTTCACCTTGTATCAGTGCTGTGCTTCACCTTGTATCAGTGCTGTGCTTCACCTTGTATCAGTGCTGTGCTTCACCTTGTATCAGTGCTGTGCTTCACCTTGTATCAGTGCTGTGCTTCACCTTGTATCAGTGCTGTGCTTCACCTTGTATCAGTGCTGTGCTTCACCTTGTATCAGTGCTGTGCTTCACCGTGTATCAGTGCTGTGCTTCACCTTGTATCAGTGCTGTGCTTCACCTCACCTCAGTGCTGTGCTTCACCGTGTATCAGTGCTGTGCTTCACCCTGTATCAGTGCTGTGCTTCACCTTGTATCAGTGCTGTGCTTCACCGTGTATCAGTGCTGTGCTTCACCTTGTATCAGTGCTGTGCTTCACCTGGTATCAGTGCTGTGCTTCACCTTGTACCTTGTATCAGTGCTGTGCTTCACCTTGTATCAGTGCTGTGCTTCACCGTGTATCAGTGCTGTGCTTCACCGTGTATCAGTGCTGTGCTTCACCGTGTATCAGTGCTGTGCTTCACCGTGTATCAGTGCTGTGCTTCACCGTGTATCAGTGCTGTGCTTCACCGTGTATCAGTGCTGTGCTTCACCGTGTATCAGTGCTGTGCTTCACCGTGTATCAGTGCTGTGCTTCACCTTGTATCAGTGCTGTGCTTCACCGTGTATCAGTGCTGTGATTCACCTTGTATCAGTGCTGTGATTCACCTAGTATCAGTGCTGTGCTTCACCTTGTATCAGTGCTGTGCTTCACCTTGTATCAGTGCTGTGCTTCACCTTGTATCAGTGCTGTGCTTCACCGTGTATCAGTGCTGTGCTTCACCTTGTATCAGTGCTGTGCTTCACCTTGTATCAGTGCTGTGCTTCACCGTGTATCAGTGCTGTGCTTCACCTTGTATCAGTGCTGTGCTTCACCGTGTATCAGTGCTGTGCTTCACCGTGTATCAGTGCTGTGCTTCACCTTGTATCAGTGCTGTGCTTCACCTTGTATCAGTGCTGTGCTTCACCTTGTATCAGTGCTGTGCTTCACCGTGTATCAGTGCTGTGCTTCACCTTGTATCAGTGCTGTGCTTCACCTTGTATCAGTGCTGTGCTTCACCGTGTATCAGTGCTGTGCTTCACCTTGTATCAGTGCTGTGCTTCACCGTGTATCAGTGCTGTGCTTCACCGTGTATCAGTGCTGTGCTTCACCGTGTATCAGTGCTGTGCTTCACCGTGTATCAGTGCTGTGCTTCACCGTGTATCAGTGCTGTGCTTCACCTTGTATCAGTGCTGTGCTTCACCGTGTATCAGTGCTGTGCTTCACCGTGTATCAGTGCTGTGCTTCACCTTGTATCAGTGCTGTGCTTCACCTTGTATCAGTGCTGTGCTTCACCTTGTATCAGTGCTGTGCTTCACCGTGTATCAGTGCTGTGCTTCACCTTGTATCAGTGCTGTGCTTCACCTTGTATCAGTGCTGTGCTTCACCTTGTATCAGTGCTGTGCTTCACCGTGTATCAGTGCTGTGCTTCACCTTGTGTCAGTGCTGTGCTTCACCTTGTATCAGTGCTGTGCTTCACCGTGTATCAGTGCTGTGCTTCACCGTGTATCAGTGCTGTGCTTCACCGTGTATCAGTGCTGTGCTTCATCGTGTATCAGTGTTGTGCTTCACCTTGTATCAGTGCTGTGCTTCACCGTGTATCAGTGCTGTGCTTCACCGTGTATCAGGGCTGTGCTTCACCGTGTATCAGTGCTGTGCTTCATCGTGTATCAGTGCTGTGCTTCACCGTGTATCAGTGCTGTGCTTCACCGTGTATCAGTGCTGTGCTTCACCGTGTATCAGTGCTGTGCTTCACCTCGTGTATCAGTGCTGTGCTTCACCGTGTATCAGTGCTGTGCTTCACCGTGGATCAGTGCTGTGCTTCACCGTGTATCAGTGCTGTGCTTCACCGTGTATCAGTGTTGTGCTTCACCGTGTATCAGTGCTGTGCTTCACCGTGTATCAGTGCTGTGCTTCATCGTGTATCAGTGCTGTGCTTCACCGTGTATCAGTGTTGTGCTTCATCGTGTATCAGTGCTGTGCTTCACCGTGTATCAGTGCTGTGCTTCACCGTGTATCAGTGCTGTGCTTCACCGTGTATCAGTGCTGTGCTTCATCGTGTATCAGTGCTGTGCTTCACCGTGTATCAGTGCTGTGCTTCACCGTGTATCAGGGCTGTGCTTCACCGTGTATCAGTGCTGTGCTTCACCGTGTATCAGTGCTGTGCTTCACCGTGTATCAGGGCTGTGCTTCACCGTGTATCAGTGCTGTGCTTCACCGTGTATCAGTGCTGTATTGTTTTCTTGTTGGAACTTCTTACAAAGTTATTACAACTTGTTATCAAGTTTTTGTGATGTATTAGAAAGTTGTTACAACTTGTTAGATAATTGGTGTAACTTGTTAAAAGGTGTTACAGATTGTTAGATAATTGTCATAACTTGAAAGAAGGTTTTACAACTTGTTACATAATTGTTACACCCTGTTAGAAGGTGTTACAACCTATTAGATAAGGGTTATAACCTGTTAGAAGGTGCAATTACCTGTCTTACACACAGAGATCACACTAACGTGATGCATCAAATGAACAAATCCACAAGGGCCGTGACGAGGATTCGAACCTGCGTCCGGGAGCATCCCAGACACTGCCTTAATCGACTGAGCTACGACAGGGTAAAAGCGTTGAAACCGAAGTTCTATTGAACTTACTGGATCCCGTAGCCTCTCCGAGGCACAAACCAGGCTTTTACACAACCCCCTCCCCCCTGCACCCGAGCTATATCAATAGGCCGTTCTCCCTCTATTAAGGGAGTTCTTTGTCGATTAAGGCAGTGTCTGGGATGCTCCCGGATGCAGGTTTGAATCCTCGTCACGGCCCTTGTGGATTTGTTTATATATGTCTTCTTTACTGCGGTGCCAAAAACGTTGTTGCATAATCCATGCGTGGTTTCTTGAGCCAAAACAATATTGAGGGCTTACATAAGAACATAAGAATAAAGGAATCTCCATAAGTCTTAATAGGTCGTTTGAGTAGGAGGCGACACAAATTACATAAAATCTCATCAGCTTTTCCAACTTATGGTTGACAAATCTAGTGACTTTAATTCTGTGAACGTAGTTGCTAAATTGTTCAATTATTACTTCTCGAAATTTAAAGTATATAGTCTGGATAAAGTGTCTAGCTATAAAATTACACAACTCTCTGAATGAGTTGCGAGCAATATATATACTCCAGTTTGACCAGAAATCTCTTCACAGTTTACCGGAAGCCTGCAGAAACATCAGAGACCAGTACCGGGATCTCATTAGTACTGGGTGCATTCCTCTGACCATGGGCGGTGACCACACTATCTCCTACCCCATACTGCAGGCCATCAAGGTAAATCATTATTCTCTCCTACATTATCCTGCAGGCCATCAAGGTAAACTGCCACACTCTACTATCCCATCATGAAGACCATCAAGATAAACTGCCTCACACTCCCACCCCATCCTGCAAGCCATCTAGGTAAACCGCTCGTGAGAGTATTATTTTCCGTCGTGATATTCTAGTATTACATTTGTCAACTTAAAACTGAAAGTCAAGATGGGTCTCCGGAGGAAGGACTTGCTTAGCTAACAAGCTAAGTGTAGTAAGCAGCTCATTCCCCACTCTAGAGACCATAGAATAGACTAGGCGCGAGTAAACGCCGAGACCTCAAATGTATGACATCCCTACCATTAGGTCGTTGACCTTTGCAAATCGCCAGAGCGAATCTAACGAGTAGGTCACGGATTCTCACAAAATTTTATTTGTTGTGTAATGCTATGAATTCAGCCCAAATCTCAAAAGCAGTCTCAAGATGAACAGCAATAATAATTTCAGGCAACATGGCTGAGCATATGTAAATCAATCAAATGTGTGGGGTGTAACAAAAGACAGTGTTCACCATAACAACATAGTTTATTCAATAAAGTACTAACCACTGCAACAACGAAAGAAATATCACTGACGTTACTCGAAATCCTTGCTGTGACACTTTTACGACAGCTAGACACCAGCCACGAGTGCTGCATAAATGAACTAACTTGAACATACTGAGTGATCACATAGGAATCATTCAAGCAAAACAAAACATACTAATCTATAATCACTAATGCAACAACAACAAGGTAGGTTAGGAGATTAGTCTCCTGCAACCTCCAATCAGTTACTTTATGCTCCTTGCAGCCCTCCCCTGCAATAGCAGTTGCATGTAATCAAACAAGTAGCCTATCAATGACATTACAATGACTAATGGGGTTACTGGCAACTACAGCAATCCTCCTTAATTAAATTCTTACGTTAAGACTCCGTCCCTCGGACGATCAACAATGTCTAATTGATTACGTTAATACAAAAGTAATACTTACGTTCACCTAATCTTGTCTCCCACAGACAAATCAAACTGTACAACTGTCATTAGTAACTCGGAATTACGCAAACACTTTACCCGTCAAGCGTTCAGTGAGAAATCCACATTGATCCCTGTACTACGAACAGCTGATTAATCCCAAAGCGAGCTACATTATCGGTTACTATCGCCCCTTCGATAGTTTACTACAATTTTTATGTCCAAAGTGCTAAGAGAACGGCAATCACCCTTGACTTCCTCAAGCAATTAATTACTATCTCGAAGATCAATAATTAATTAATACACATATACGTCACCTTTCCACCGACGTGGAAAGGAACAGCGTTTTTGAAAAACACCGTTTTTTAAAAAAAACATGCTTTTACCTATCACAGGTGAGACATCTATATAGTATATATGTAAAAACACGTGCGTATTCAAATGCAAAGGTGTGTCAAAACTTCAAAGCAATCGGTAAAGAACATTCGGAGATTTCCCTCACATGAAAAACACAGTGTTTTTAAAATAGCATGTTTTTACCTGCCACATGTGTGACATCTATATAGTAGGTATATAAAAACACGCACGTATTCGAATGAAACGTGTCAAAATTTCAAAGCGATCGGTGAAGTACTTTCTGAGATTTAAAATTTTGAATTAACGAACATTTAAATATATATTGTGACGGTAAAGTGTTGGAGTGTAGATGTTCGGCAGTCCTCCAATGGCAGGTGGCAATGCCTTGTCACATTTACAGAAAAAAAGAGACTGCTTGCCTGTTTGTCTGTGGTAAGGTAATGGGAAGACACACAAAACACAAAATATTAACAATGAAATTTTAATTACTTTAGAAAACAAGATATGAACAAAGACAATCCCTTGGCTTACGTAAAATTCAAAACAAGTCAACAAACAAAACATGAATAATTATTGAATGTAAAATTTACTCTAAAACAAAATGAAGTGCAAGACAATAATATTATTAATCAGGTACTGAGAATACTGGCTAAAGCTGCCACCTCCCTTAGTACACGACAGCCAGGGCTTAGTCTACCAGAGAGAGATGTCAACTTCTAAGAGCACAGAGATATTCTGAGGAGTATGGCGTGAGCTGGTTAGGTTGCCGAAAAAGTTAGGTTAGGTTAGGTAGGTTAGGTAGTCGAAAAACAATTAATTCATGAAAACTTGGCTTATTAGGCAAATTAGGCCTTGCATAGTAGGCTGAGAAGTGCGTTCTGGCTACTAGGTACAACATATATATATATATATATATATATATATATATATATATATATATATATATATATATATATATATATATATATATATATATATATGTATGTCGTACCTAGTAGCCAGAACTCACTTCTCAGCCAACTATGCAAGGCCCGATTTGCCTAATAAGCCAAGTTTTCCTGAATTAATATATTTTCTATAATTTTTTTCTCATGAAATGATAAAGCTGCCCTTTTCACTATGTATGAGGTCAATTTTTTTTTATTGGAGTTAAAATTAACGTAGATATATGACCGAACCTAACCAACCCTACCTAACCTAACCTAATCTATCTTTATAGGTAAGGTTAGGTTAGGTAGCCAAAAAAAGCTAGGTTAGGTTAGGTTAGGTAGGTTAGGTTGTCGAAAAAACATTAATTCATGAAAACTAGGCTTATTAGGCAAATCGGGCCTTGCATAGTAGGCTGAGAAGTGAGTTCTGGCTACTAGGTACGACATATATATATATATTATATATATATATATATATATATATATATATATATATATATATATATATATATATATATATATATATATATATATATATATATATATGTCGTACCTAGTAGACAGAACTCACTTTTCAGCCTACTATTCAAGGCCCGATTTGCCTAATAAGCCAAGTTTTCCTGAATTTATATATTTACTATAATTTTTTTCTTATGAAATGATAAAGGAACCCTTTTCTCTATGTATGAGGTCAATTTTTTTATTGGAGTTAAAATTAACGTAGATATATGACCGAACGTAACCAACCCTACCTAACCTATCCTAACCTATATTTATAGGTTAGGTTAGGTTAGGTAGCCAAAAAAAGCTAGGTTAGGTTAGGTAGGTTAGGTAGACGAAAAAACATTAATTCATGAAAACTTGGCTTATTAGGCAAATCGGGCCTTGAATAGTAAGCTGAGAAGTGCGTTCTGGCTATTAGGTACGACATATATATATATATATATATATATATATATATATATATATATATATATATATATATATATATATATATATATATGTCGTACCTAGTAGCCAGAACGCACTTCTCTGCCTACTATGCAAGACCCGATTTGCCTAATAAGCCAAGTTTTTATGAATTTATTATTTTTCGGCGACCTAACCTACCTAACCTAGCCTAACCTAACTTTTTCGGCTACCTAACCTAACCTAACCTATAAAGATAGGTTAGGTTAGGTTAGGTAGGGTTGGTTAGGTTCGGTCATATATCTACGTTAATTTTAACTCCAATAAAACAGAATTGACCTCATACATAATGAAATGGGTAGCTTTATCATTTCATGAGAAAAAAATTAGAGAAAATATATAAATTCAGGAAAATTTGGCTTATTAGGCAAATCGGGCCTTGCATATTAGGCTGAGAAGTGCGTTCTGGCTACTAGGTACGACATATATATATATATATATATATATATATATATATATATATATATATATATATATATATATATACATGTCGTACCTAGTAGCCAGAACGCACTTTTTGGCCTACTACGCAAGCCCCGATTTGCCTAATAAGCCAAGTTTTCCTGAATTAATATATTTTCTCTAATTTTTTTCTCATGAAAAGATAAAGCTACCCATTTCATTATGTATGAGGTCAATTTTTTTGTATTGGAGTTAAAATTAACGTAGATATATGACAGAACCTAACCAACCCTACCTAACCTAACCTAACCTATCTTCATAGGTTAGGTTATGTTGGGTAGCCAAAAAAGTTAGGTTAGGTTAGGTTAGGTAGGTTAGGTAGTCGAAAAACAATTAATTCATGAAAACTTGGTTTATTAGGCAAATCGGGCCTTGCATAGTAGGCCAAAAAGTGCGTTCTGGCTACTAGGTATGACATATATATATATATACATATATATATATATATATATATATATATATATATATATATATATATATATATATATATATATATATATATATATATTAAGTACTTTCGTATATTAATACATCTTCAGAAGGAGTATACTCCTTCTGAAGATGAATTATTACGAAAGTACTTAAGGAAATTCCTGTTTCATTTTTCCTCCGTGGTCTGACATTGTCATATATATATATATATATATATATATATATATATATATATATATATATATATATATATATATATATATATAAATGTCGTACCTAATAGCCAGAACGCACTTCTCAGCCTACTATGCAAGGCCCGATTTGCCTAATAAGCCAAGTTTTCATGAATTAATATATTTTCTCTAATTTTTTTCTTATGAAATGATAAAGCTATGCATTACACTATGTAAAATGTCAATTTTTTTTTATTGGAGTTAAAATTAACGTAGATATATGACCGAACCTAACCAACCCTACCTAACCTAACCTAACCTATCTTTATAGGTTAGGATGGGTTAGGTAGCCGAAAAAGTTAGGTTAGGTTAGGTTAGGGAGGTTAGGTAGTCGAAAAAGCATTAATTCATGAAAACTTGGCTTATTAGGCAAATTCGGTCTTGCATAGTAGGCTGAGAAGTGCGTTCTGGCTACTAGGTACGACATAAATATATATATATATATATATATATATATATATATATATATATATATATATATATATATATTATATATATATATATATATATATATATATATATATATATATATATATATATATATATAAATATATATATATATATATATATATTAGTATATTTTGGTAGCAGTCTTTCCTGTAGACATATATTATTAAATATGAC